ATATATATATATATATATATTCTCATTTTTGAATGTGATGCCTGCAACACGTCCAAGAAAGCTAGGGCAGCAAAAATTGTGGAAGTTGAGTAATGCTCAAGAAACACCTGTTTGGAACATTCCACAGGTGAACAGGCTCATTGGAAGCAGGCGACTGTGTCATGATTGGGTATAAATGTATCACCTATGAACAACGTTCACATGCAAGGATGGGGAAAAGTTCACCATTTTGTGGGAAAACTGTGCAAATCCATAATATCTTCAAAAGATTCAGAGAATCTGGACAAATCTCTGCTAGAAAGCAGCAAGGCCGAAATCCAACYTTGATTGCCCGTGACCTTCGATCCCTCAGGCAGCAGTGCATTAAAAACCAACATCATTCTGTAACAGATATTACAGACGGGCTCAGCAACACTTCAGAAAATCAGTGACCACAGTTCATCACTACATCTACAAGTGCAAGTTAAAACTCTACCATGCAAATCTTAAGCCATTTTTCACCAACACCCAGATACGCTGCCTGTTTCTGTAGGCCCGAACTCATCTGAGATTGACTGAATCAAAGTGGAAAAGTGTCCTGTGGTCTGAAGAGTCCACATTTCAAATTGTTTTTGGAAACCTAATTTGTGCATCTATGAAGACACCATTAATGTTGAAAAGTACATGGGAGCAACATAAGCTGCCATCCAAGCCACGTCTTTTTCAGGGACGTCCTTATTTCAGCAAGACAATGAAGACACATTCTGCACTTGTTACAACAGCATGTCTTCRTAGTAAGAGTGAAGGTACYAGACTGGCCTGCCTGCAGTCCAGACCCATCTCCCACTGAAAATGTGTTGCACATTATGAAGCACAAAATACAACAATGGAGACCCTGAACTGTTGAGAAACTGAAGTTGTACATCAAGCAAGAATGGGAAATAAATCTACATACGAAGCTTCAACAGTTGTCCTCAGTTCCCAAACGACTGAATGTTGTTAAAAGGAAAAGTGGTGCAAATCATCGTTGTTGGGTTTTTTTTAGTTAGTTAGTTTGTTTTTTTATGTTTCACACAACATCCCAACTTCATTGGAATTGGGGTTGTAAGACATTTAAAGAGTAACTTACCCCAAAATTAACTTTTGTTAGCTGCTAAACTGTCTAGAATGTGTCTAAAATGTTATATAGTACTGTTTCTGTGCTAATTTTGATGTTTTTGTCCGTATTTGTTCAAAATATTTGGTCTAAAAACGTCTTTTTGCTGCTCATATGGGTAGAGCAGTGGTACTGCAGGTTAATTTGCATATTGGTTAACGGCTCTCCGCTGTGACGTGCTTCTCCACGGTTTCGTCACAGCGGCTGTGTTCTGGTATAAAAGCCTCTCTCTAAGACACGCCCCTGCAGCAGTCAGAGGGTGGAACAGTTAGCAAGCTTAGCATGATCGTCTGTTGACCTTCAGCCTCGGGTGGAGAGAGGTGACTGCTGCGCTGACTCTGAGCTGAGCGAGAGAGAGAGAGAGAGAGAGAGAGAGAGAGAGAGAGAGAGAGAGAGAGAGAGAGAGAGAGAGAGAG